ATGTTATTTGTTTATTGTTTTGATTTATCAAAAGGTACAACTCTATTCAGAGTTAGTGTATGCCTAATAGATTGGACAATAACGAATAGTATTTGTGAAATACTAATTAGTTGATAGAATCCACGACTCGGTTTTGAGTTTGATGATACACCTTTATGTAAGCTTTTCAGTTTTCATGTGAAAACCCGGCCGGTGAATTTTATATCCGTCACATGAATTAGTTTAAGCAGAATTATAAAGAAATTAATTAGTTGATTAAATTAAATTATCAGTGATTTAATTTAATTAACTGGTATTTGTGATCTTAACATGGGGAGTTAAAATAAGTGTTAGTGAATTTTTGAAATTCATATTGAGGAGTTCAATTGCAGTTTTTAGTGGAATAAACTGCAACTAATTATAGTAAGAATTAATTCGTGCAAATTTTTTAATTAATGCTATAATTGGTAGTCTCTTATTGTTTCTGTGGTCCCTGCTATACATAGTAAAAACCTGGACTGACTTGGATAAAAAGTGACTTGGGAGAAAAGTCATCCTTGAGAGTTAGAGTAGGATTCTACTTGCACAAGAAGAATCCTACACGATTTTGGAGCCTCTTTTAGCTGAAAAATGAGTCTAAATAAGGAAGACGTTTTTCACCCAATAACTCACTTTAAGAGTTGAATTGTTCTTGCCCACTCAAAGCAATTTCGTCCAAAGTCTTACTAGGACCATAGCAGAAGACTGCAGCCCTGAATTCTTACTCTAAGGAGGACTTGTGCATCATTTTCAAGAGGTTAGTGGTTCTAATCTCGTAATTATATCATTGTCTAGTTTACATGTTTGCGATGCCTGGTTTGTATGCTTGCTTCCGCTGCGCATGTTCCAACAATTGGTATTAGACGTCGTCTTACATCTAACTAGATAATGTAATACAACATGAATAAAGTAATATTAAAACATGTTGTTAAATGATATATGTTTGGTATGATTATTCTATGAAAATAGTAGATTAATATACATAATACAATGCTGTTTTGTATGGTTATTCTATGTAAACAATGTGACTATTTTAATTAGTATTTTAATTATGAAATTATGGATTAATTTATATATGCATAAATAGTGGTGTTATATTTTATGACAATCTAATTTTGTTGCGTTTTTGTCCATAATAACAGTATTGTTTTAATAAAAATGTGACTGTTTTGAATACTATTAATTCTGAAATTATGGATTAATATACGTAAGTATGAACAATGGTGTTTTGAACGGGTGAAAATAGTGTTGTTTTTTCCATGTTTGTTCGAAAATAGTTTTTATATATATAAAAATGACTATGTAATTTTATAATAGTATTATTTTAAGTTCTGAAATCATGGATTAACATACATAAGTACATTATGTGATATGAACACGTCAAATTAATCAAAACCCTAAAAACGCATAAAAAACAGAATTTGAAAATAGGTCATGAATTTGGAATTCTTAAATTCTGTCGAACTCCGATTGACCTCAAATTTGGTATGTTCATCGAAAACGATCCAGTAAGCAATACTCATGAGCTTTTCTCATGACGTACGTCGTTCTTTGGGCATTCGGGGTCGTTTAGATGGGTTTAGGGTTAAGAAAACAATGATGGTAACGTTTAATTCCCATTGTTTCCAATCATGTTTTACAGTAATATAATGAATTTATATGTTGATATAGGTCTTCTTCCACATCAGATAAATTCATTATAGATCATTATTTGTGATGACCCAAAAGGTCATCTTATGTTTTAGAACTCGATTCTGCGCTCTTAAGCCTTAAAAATCTCTTTTTTTTATCCTTCTCGATTTGCGTGCGCAATCCGATCATATTTTCGGAAAACTTTTATGTTGAAAACTGATAAAAATAAGATTTTTTGTCTTAAAACTTGAGTTGAGTTGACTTCGATCAATATTTTTAGTAAACGGGTCCGGATCCGTATTTTGACAGTTCCGGTGGGTCCGTATCAAATTATGGGACCTGGACGAATGCCTGGAATCGAATTCTGAGGTCCCTAACTCGAGTTATGAATTTTTGATGAAAATTAAAAGTCTGAAAATTTAGTTGTTTTAAGAATTGATTGATGTTTGGCATTGTTAGTACCGGGTCTATATTTTTGTTTCGGAGCCCGGTACAGGTTCATTATAATATTTAGAACTTATCTGTGAAATTTGGTGAGAAACAGAGTTGGTTTGACGTGATTCGGACGTTCAGTTGAGAATATAGAAGTTTTAAAGTTTTCTTGAGAAGTTTATTTGATTTGGTGCTAAATTCGTAGTTCTAAGTGTTATTTTGGCGATTTGATCGCGCGAGCAAGTTTGTATGATGTTTTTAGACTTGTGTGCATGTTTGGTTTGGAGCCCCGAGGGATCGGGTGAATTTCGGATAGGTCACGGGATGTTTTGGACTTTGGAAAATCTGGTTTTCTGGAGATTTTGATGCCTTCTGGTTTCCTTCTTCGCATTCGCGAAGGCACTCTCGCGAACGCGAAGTAGAAACTGGAATGACTGATTATTACTCTTCGCAAACGCGAAGTGATGGGGGATTTACCCTTCGCGAACGCGACCAGCTCATCGCGAACGCGAAGCATAAGGGACCTAGGGGAGGGTTGGTCGTTTCTTCTTCGCGAACACGAGCAATGTCTCGCGAACGCGAAGGCCAGGGGGAGTAACCATCGTTAACGCGAGCAAAGTCTCGCGAACGCGAAGGCTTGGCAGCCTATACTCTTCGCGAACGCGATAGTGTTCTCGCGAACGCGATGAACACTGTCGCCCAACTCTTAAAACAAAATCAAACACGAGATTAAGCCATTTTTCCAACTTTTCATAAAACAAATGGGCTAGAGGCGATTTTCAAGCTATAGTTTTTTCCCCAAAGTGCTGGTAAATAATTCTAAACCTTTTTCTTTCAATTAACCATTACATTTCATGAATTATTAACCTAAAATCTAGAGTTTTCATGGTAGAATTAGGGGTTTGGGTAGAAACTAGAGATTTCAAAAATTTGGAGATTTAGACCTCAATTTGAGGTCGGGTTCCAAAATCAATTATATATCCGAGCTCGGGGGTGAATGGGTAAATGGATTTTGGTCCAAACCTCAGGTTTTGACCAAGCGAGCTCGGGGTCGAATTTTTTTCTTTTTGGAGGAAAATTTGGAAAATCTAAATTTATGCAATATAATTGATTCCTTTAGCAATATTTGATATTATTGAGTTATTTTTGAATAGATACGGGTGGTTTAGAGGTGAATTCTAGAGGAAAAAGTTGTGATTGAGTGTTAAGTGGCCTTCGGAGCGAGGTAAGTATTGTGTCTAACCCTGACTTGAGGGAATTAGGAACCTCAAATTATTTGCTATGTGAAATTCATGTGAGAGGCGTATATGTGAGGTGACGAGTACTTATGCGCCTCCAATTTACCTATTTTCCCTGTTTTCTCCCGTTTATTTTTATATTGTCTCTTTCCTATGCCTAATTGTTACGTGTTTAGACTAGTGTTGTTAAATTGATCGTTCTTATCATGTTTACGGATTCTCTGGTGATAATAGAGTATTTATTTCAAAGTGAGATTGATATTGTGGAAACAAATGTTGAAATAAGGCTTGTACTTGTTATTCTATCTCCCTGTTGTTATTTATGTATTGCATTATGGTAAGGGAGAGTGTTAATGTACGAAGGGTGATACCGTGCCATATTGTGAGTGTTCATACACGAAGGGTGATGCCGTGCCATATTGTGAGTGTTAATGCACGAAGGCTGATGCCGTGCCATATTGTGAGTGTAAAAGCACGAAGGGTGATGTCGTGCCATGATATGAGAGTTAATGCACGAAGGGTGATGCCGTGCCGTTTCTATTGATTTTATGGTGAGAATGAGAATAAAAGCACGAAGGGTGATGCCGTGCATTTTTTCTTTACTATATTCGTGTTCCTGTTGATTTATTATATAATGGTTGTTTCAGTTATCATTCTGCTGTAGTTCTTCATTACTTTTATTTGTATATACACTGTTAAATTATACAGGTTGAATTGTAGGTGCCTTGCCTTAGCAATTTAGTCGAAGTTAGGCTCGACACTTACCAGTACATGGGGTCGGTTGTACTGATACTGTACTCTGCACTTTCTGTGCAGATTTTGGTACCGACTCAGGTTGATGGAGATTTTTGCTGTTGGATCGCTATCCAGAGACTCAAGGTAGATCTGTCGGCGTTCACAGACCTTGAAGTCCCCGTCTATCTTTTCTGTTTTACTATTTCCTTCATCAAATAGTTGTACTTCTTTCAGACTATTACTTGTAGTGAATTCTAGAATGCTCGTGAATTGTGACTCCAGATCCGGCTGGTAGTACTTAATACAATTTTTATATTATTCTGCACTCACTATATTTCATCTTAGCTAAATTTGCTGTTAATTACTGAATGGAATAAGGATCGGTTTAATGATTCTCTAATGCTGGCTTGCCTAGCAAGTGAAATATTAGGCGCTATCACAGTTCCGACGGTGGGAATTCCGGGTCGTGACATTATTGTAGTTTTGCCTCTAGTTATTTGATTACTTGTATTAACTCTCCAACTAAGGTACTTTTAGTTTATGGGGTAAATATTTTACACAACTCATATATTTTGCATGAATAGTTAAATTTCCCTAACGAATCTAACTGTTCAATGAGCATGGTTATATGGGAAATGTGCTGTTTTGAATTTAATTATTCTAATTACATAATTAATGATCTATTTAATGTGAATATCTCTTATATTAACCATGTCTTCATTCAACCCACTTACCTCAATCCTGAACCAATATAAGTTAGAAGGACCGAATTATGTTGACTGGAAAAGGAACCTTGATATTGTCCTAACTACTAAAGATTACAAATTTGTAATCATTGAGGAGTGCCCAGAAAAACCTGATGAAGATGCTACTGATGATCAGGTTAAGGCCTATGACAAATGGGTCAAGGCTGATGAGATGGCGTGATCTTACATTCTTGGCTCTATGGCGAATGTTTTGCAACATCAACATTGCTCTATGGGGTCTGCTCATGACATGCTCAAAAGTTTCAAAGAGATGTTCGGTGAGCAAAATCGTGCGGCTAAGCAGACAACCATGGAAGCCCTTTTGAACACCAAGATGGCTGAAGGATCATCGGTCAGGGACCATGTTCTGAAGATGATGGGTCTTCTGAATGAACTGGAGGTCCTTGGAGTTGTGATTGATAAGAAATCTCAAGTTGAGATGGTCCTGCAGACTCTGCGTGATAGTTTTCAACAATTTCACATGAACTATAATATGAACAAAATTGATTTGTCACTAGAGAAATTGTTGAATGAGCTGGAAGCGACAAAATCTATTATCAAATAGGAAGCTCTAGTTGTAGCACTGAATGTTGAGAAAGTTTCAATTTCTAAGTCGAAAGGCGGTAAGAAAAAGAAGAAGGCTCAAAAGGTTTTGGCACCTGGAGGTGCAACTGGTGTGAAAAAGACCAAAGGAAAGTGCTATCACTGTAAGCAACCTAGGCATCACAAAAAGCAATGCCCTGCCTATCTGGCAAACTTGAATAATTAAGGTAATTTGAATTTAAATGTCGTTGAAACTTGTTTAGCGGCTGTCTCTACATTGTTTTGGTGTGTAGATTCAGGAGCCACTAATCATATCTGCACTACTTTGCAGGGGTTTCAGGAAACGTGGAGGCTATGTGAGAATGAAGTTTGCTATTTTGAAGCCAATGGCGAGCCAACACCAGCTTTAGCATTAAAAGATATTAGAGTTTCGTTTAGTAGTGATAGAGTTTTAGTTTTGAAAAATGTTCTCTATGTACCTTCTATTAGAAGGAATTTGATTTCGGTTTCGAAAATAATGGATGTTGATTATAATATTTGTTTTGATAATAACTCTGCTATTATTAAGTTTAATAAATATTTTATCTACACTGTTGCTAGAGTACATGACCTTTTTATTCTTGATATATCTCCTCATGTGCTACAACCAAAAGAATTAAATAACATTAATCTGTCACATAAAAGAAAACGTATTTCTGAATTTAGCCAAACTTATTTGTGGCACTTACGTAGGCACTGCCAATATGTGAATCCTGTTTAGAAGGTAAAATGACCAAGGGACATTTTCTCTCAAAAGAAAATAGACCCAGCGATAAGTTAGAATTAATTCACTCTGATTTGTGTGGCCCTATGGATATACAAGCAAGAGGTGGTTTTGAGTATTTTGTGACTTTCACAGATGATTACTCAAAATATGGATACATTTATCTGTTGCGCCGTAAGTCTGAATGCTTTGAGAAATTGAAAGAATTGAAGACGGAAACGGAGAAACGGCATGATAAATATATCAAAACATTGCGAACTGATCGTGGTGGTGAGTACCTTTCTGTGGAATTCATTAAATACTAATCAGATTGTGGAATTACAGCTCAATTATCTGCCCCAGGAATACCACAACAAAATGGTGTGGCAGAAAGAAGAAATATAACCCTTTTGGAAATGGTTAGATCAATGTTACGTTATTCTGATTTGCCTTTTTTTCCTTTTGGGGATATGCCTTAGAAACAACAAATTACATTCTAAATTTGGTTCATTCTAAATCAGTACCTTTAACCCCAGCAGAATTGTGGATTGGGCGGAACCCAAATTTACGGCATATTCGAGTTTGGGGTTGTCTAGCACATGTGCTGAAAGGGAAAGTGGATAAATTGGAATCGAGGACAGAAGTATGCATTTTTATTGGATATCTAAAAGGAACTAAAGGAGGTTTATTTTATTGTCCCAAAGAAAAGAAGGTAATTGTTACGACAAATGCTAGATTTTTAGAAGAGGACTATTTAATGAACCATATTCCTAGAAATAAACTAGTTTTACAAGAATTAAGTCATGGAATAACTAACGACTCATCTTTGGAACGTATCTCGGAAGCCAGTATTGACATACCACTGCATTATCGTAGTGGGAGAAATGTCAATAGGCAGCAGAACGTATAGGAGGAATTTCCTGACATCTCACTATCCCAAAGTAGTGGGAGTAATGTTGTGCAGCCTCGGATTGTTGAGCAAACTGAAATTGTTGTGCAACATGCAGGAAGAAGTTAATGATATCCCAATACCACAAGGTGTGGAGGATAACATTGAGGCTTCAGTTCAAAATGATGTTGTGATTCAACAACAAAATCCAACTGCACCTGTAGTCACTAGTCGTAGTGGGAGAATTATTAAAAAACCCCTCCGGTTTGCGCTCGTGGGAGAATCTTATGATAGAATCCCTGAAGAGCCTAGTACATAACCTCTTAATTACGACGAAGCACTACAGGATACAAATGCTGATAAATGGGTTGCTGCTATGAAATCTAAAATGGAGTCCATGTATTCCAATCAAGTCTGGGATCTTGTAGAACCACCCACTGGAGTCAGACCCATTGGTTGTAGATGGATCTATAAGAAAAATAGAGGAGTAGATGGAAAAGTTCAAACTTTTAAAGCTAGGCTTGTTGCAAAAGGGTTTACTCAAAAAGAAGGGATTGATTATGAGGAAACTTTTTCGCCAGTAGCCATGCTTAAATCCATTAGGATTCTCTTATCCATTGCTGCTCATTACGATTATGAGATTTGGCAAATGGATGTCAAGATGGCTTTTCTCAATGGAAGTCTTGATGAGTGCATCTATATGGCACAACCAGTTGGTTTCATAAAAAGTGGCTATGAGTACATGTTGTATAAATTAAAGAAATCCATTTATGGATTGAAACAAGCTTCTAGAGCATGGAATACTTGTTTTGATACATCGATTAAAACCTTCAATTTTGATCAATGTGAAAACGAGTCTTGTATCTATAAGAAGTGGGATGGAGATAAAGTTACATTTTTTGTTTTATACGTAGATGTTATTTTGCTCATAGGAAATAATATGAGCATGTTGAATTCAGTAAAGGAATGGTTGCCCTCGCATTTTGATATGAAAGACTTGGGACAAGCGACACATATCCTTGGGATCAAGCTTATGCGAGATCGCAAGTGAAGGATATTAAGCTTATCCTAAGCACATTATATTGATACTATTCTCACCAGGTTTAGCATGCAAGGTTCCAAGAAAGGTTTTCTCCCTCTTAGGTATGGAATCTCTCTGTCAAAAGATCAGTCCCCAAAAACGACTAATGAGATAGAAAAGATGAAGGAGGTCCCTTATGCTTCTGCTGTAGGGAGTCTCGTGTATGCTATGCCATGTACTAGACATGATATCTGCTTTGCTGTTGGCATGGTTAGTTGTCACGACCCAAATACCTAACCCGTCCTGATGGCGCCTATCGTGGAACTAGGCAACCGACATTCTCAATATGCTTTCAATATATGACAGAAATGAGCTAAAGTAATTAAATTAATCAGAGGTTTAAATAATAACGGGGTTAAACCCAAAACACAAGTGCAGAATAATAGCCCGACATCGGGGTGTTACTAAATCATGAGCATCTAACAACCAATCTAGAAACAGAGTCTACTACAGTCTGTGCCAAATGCTGATACAAGAGAGAAAAGATAATAAGAAAGGAGAAACAAGGAATGCGGACGCGCAGCAGCTACCTCGTAAGTCTCTGATAATCAGCTCGCGCACAAACTCAGCGACCGTCAGAACCGTACACGCCTGGATATGCACATGAAGTGCACGGTGTAACATGAGTACAACCAACTCAGCAAGTAACAGAAGTAAATAAGGAACTAGGAAGAAGTGACGAGCTATAAAAATACAGATCATTTCAAAAGTTTTCAGTAAAGAGTGAACATGCTTTCAAATCTGGTAGTATAAGTCAAATCAGTTCGAGCTCAAGTAAAACAGATATAAATCTTCCAAAAATTTCACAACAACAACAGATAACAACATAAGTGCAACAATAAATAAAAGCAAGTACAGTCTGTCAAGGCAGCAGTCACTCAACTCATCTCAACAGCTCATACTCTCGGCTCTCAGCCCTCAATACACACTCTCAATAGGTACCTGTGCTCACTGGGGGTGTACAGACTCCAGAGGGGCTCCTTCAGCCCAAGCGCTATATTGCTACGGCGTGCAGCCGATCCAATATTGTTGTGGCGTACAACCCGATCCAATATTATTACGACGTGCAACCCGATCCAATATTGTTGCGGCGTGCAACCCGATCAATCCCTTACAGCTCACAGCTCGGCACTCAGGCCCTATCTCAATCACTATCCTCTCTAGCCCCTCGGGCTCACAGAATATCATAATAATTAGACCAATCAGAGGATACAACAAGTATCAACAAGAATAAGAGGGAACCGAGATATAACACACAAGTAAGATTGTGACTGAGTACAAGAAAACAATTAGCAGTCAATTCAACAAGTATACGCCCGCTGCAGGTCCCAACAATGATATTATATGGCCTAAGCATAGTTTCTAACATGAAAGGCAGTCAATTGCTCAAAGACAAGTAAAAACAAGTAATAATAATGGCTATTCGACTTTACAGTCTCACGGGACGGACCAAGTCACAATCCTTCACGGGCACGCTCACACGCCCGTCACGTAGCATGTGCGTCACCTCCAAATATTAACATCATACCAATTCTCGGGGTTTCATACCCTCAAAACCAGATTTAAGACTGTTACTTACCTCAACCGCGTAGCAATCCTACTCCAAAATGCCCTTCCCTCTCGAATCGGCCTCCAAATGCCCCGAATCTAGCCACAAACAGTTCGAGATAGTCAGTATAGGCTAAAAGGATCAATCCCACAAGAAAACTACTAAAATATAGCCCAAAATCCAAAATCGGCTCAGCCCGGCCCCCGGGCCCACGTCTCAAAACGCAACGAAAGTCACAAAACACGAAAGCCCATTCACTCCCGAGTCTAACCATACCAAATTTATCAAATTTCGACCTCATTTGCCCCTCCAAAACCCCAAAATTCACTCTTTAATTCCCAAGCACTAAACCCCCAAATTTAACTTCAAAATCTCACTAATTAGGTGTACAATCAGTGGGGAAACACCATTACTGAAGATAAATAGGCTCAAGGAACTTACTCAGTGATTACTTCGAAATCCCTCTCAAAGACCCCAAAATCCGAGCTAAAAAATGATGAAAATAGTGAGAAATCGCGAAGTCTTCTATTTATAGGTTCTGCCCAGACTTCTTGCACTTGCGGCTCTATTTCCGCATCTGCGGGCAAAAACTCGCTTTTGATTAAATCACTAAAACACTGCCTCTGCTCCTGCGATCAAGTCACTGCATCTGCACTTTTTGCGGGTGCGGGAACTACATCGCACCTACTGTCCAAACTCGGACCTACGCCACCCCATCCGCTTCTGCGACCATCGCAGGTGCGGGAATGCCATCAAACCTGCGTCTTCTGCCTAGATCCCCCTTAACCGCATTTGCGGCTCCTCGTTCGCTTCTACGGGCTCGCACCTGTGGTTCCAACTCCGCATGTGCCAGTAGTAGCAGCTTCAGCTGCAATTCCTCAACTCTCATCAAGCCGTTAACCACCTGAAATCACCCCGGGGCCTCCGGGAACTCAACCAATTATACCGACAAGTCCTATAACCTGATAAGAACTTAGTCGAACCTTCGAATACCTCAAAACAATAACAAATCACAAAATTACACTCGGATTCAAGCTTAAAGAACTTCTAAACTTCCGAATTCCACAACGACGCCGAAACCTACCAAACCTTGTCTGATTGACCTCAAATTTTACACACAAGTCACAAATAACACCACGAACCTACTCCAACTTCCGAAAATCCAATCCGACCCCGATATCAAAAAGTCAACCCTCCGGTCAAACTTCCTAAAAATTTGACTTTCGCCATTTCAAGCCTAAATTAGGTACAAACCTCAAATTCACAGCCCGAACACGCTCCTAAGTCCTAAATCTCCCAACGGAGCTAACAGAACCGAAAAAACTCCATTCCAGAGTCGTGTTCACACAGTTCCGACTACGGTCAAAATCCTAAGACTTAAGCTTCCCCTTTAGGGACTAAGTGTCCCAAAATACCCCGAAACCAAAAACAAGATCTCCCGGCGAGTCACATAAGCAGAAACAGATACAGGGAAAACAGTAAATAGGGGTTCGGGGCTAATACACTTAAAACGACTGGCCGAGTCGTTACATCCTCCCCCTCTTAAAATAATCATTCGTTGTTGAATGAGCATAGAGACATACCTGAAGTGGTGAAAAGATGAGGATAACAGCTGCGCATATCCTGCTCGGTCTCCCAAGTCACCTCCTCGACCGGCTGACCCTTCCACTGAACCTTCACAAAAGCAATATTCTTCGACCTCAGCTTTCGAACCAGCCTATCTAAGATTGCCACCAGCTCCTCAACATAAGATAAATCCTTGTCCAACCGGACTGAGCTGAAATCCAATACGTGAGACTGATCACCGTGATACTTCCGGAGCATAGAAACATGGAATACTGGTTGAACTCCTACTAGACTGGGAGGCAAGGCAAGCTCATAAGCAACCACCCCAACACGTCGCAATACCTCAAATGGACCGATAAACCTCGGGCTCAGCTTGCCCTTCTTTCCGAACCTCATAACACCCTTCATGGGTGACACCCGGAGCAATATCTGCTCCCCAACCATAAATGCAACATCACGAACCTTCCGATCTGCATAACTCTTCTACCTGGACTGGGTTGTGTGTAGTCTATCTTGAATCACCCTAACCTTCTCCAGAGCATCCTGAACCAAGTCTGTACCCAATAAACTAGCCTCGCCGGCTCGAACCAACCCACTAGAGACCTACACCGCCTATCGTACAGTGCCTCATACGGTGCCATCTGGATGCTCGACTGGTAACTGATATTGTAAGCAAACTCCGCTAGAGGCAAGAACTATCCCACGAATCGCCAAACTCCATCACACACGCATGGAGCATATCCTCTAATATCTAAATAGTGCGCTCGGATTGTCCGTCCGTCTAAGGGTGAAATGCTGTGCTCAACTCCTCTCGAGTACCCAACTCATGATGTATGGCCCTCCAGAACCGTGATGTAAACTGTGTGCCCCCGTCAGAAATGATAGACACTGGTACGCCATGAAGCCTGACGATCTCGCAGATGTACACTCAAGCCAACTGCTCGGAAGAATAGGTAGTCATCACAGGAATAAAATGAGTCCATGGAAGCCCAAAAATGAAATCCATAGTGATCCGCTCCCATTTCCACTCCGGAATCTCTAACTTCTGAAGAAACCCACCTGGTCGCTGATGCTCATACTTCACCTGCTGGCAGCTTAGGCACCGAGCTACATACTCCACTAT